GCCTCAAGCAAGGACGTATTTCTAACCGGTCTTCGGATCTAGGAGACACGCTACCCTGGGGAGCTGGTAGAGGTCGTCCAAAGCAAATAAATGAATGCCTGAACGTCGCTAGTTGAAAAGACTAAAACGCTACGTGGCCCTCGAAATTCTCACGCCTATAAAACCCTGCAAATTACAGAATATCTTGGGTAGGCATGGGCTTGGAGACAGAAATACTCGAAGAGATAGACTCATTGAATTTGAAAAAGCGAAAAAATCTAATCGATTATATCTTAATAAGCTGTAGATGGCGGTCCTCTATTACCAATGTTAACACAAGACCTGGCATGGAATGTGGATCAGTGAAATTAAACAAGACGACAAGGTATCCAATCCCCTCTACTGAGAAAATAATGACAGCACTGAGCTCTGTCGAAATGCCTAGACAGGAAATGTGGATAAATAGAATAGTCAGAAAAAGCTGTACACATGGAAACAGAGATAAAATCCAAACATTGGTTACCTGATAACACTGTCAGTTTGCTGTTGAAGAGTTAAAATTGAAAAACATCAATAAAGAAATAAAAATCAGCTGTAGACAGGATAAAAACGCACACATTCACAAAATCTGCATGGAAATAGAAAATGAAGTAAAATACGCACACAAATTATACAGGATGAAAATGGTAGAATGATTACCTCTCCAGATGAAAACCATTCTACACTCACTGAACACGAAACCGGGATTCTTCAGTCGGAGGTTGAACACGCCTTAAAGAGCCCCAAAAACAATAAAGCTCCAGGCATAGATGACATAGCTGCGGAGATACTAAAGTCAATAGGACAGCCAGCAGTTGATGTTTTTATATCTCCTTCAGATCATTAATAACTTAGACCATATCTATTGCCCCAGATTGCAGAAGAACAAACCGGCTTTATGCCGGACAACTAATTGAGAAAGCCAGAGAATTTAACATAACAATGTACCTCTGTTTTGTCGCCTACTCCAAGGCCTTCGACTTGGTAAAATAGCCAAAATTGTGGCAAATACTCAAAGAAATGGGGGCCCCTGACCACTTAATAATACTTATCCGACTTACTTATCAAATAGGTTTCAAGCGATGAAGGTTGTCAGACAGAGATATGTTCTCTCGCCCATACTGTTCGAAGTATACACCGAATACAGGGACATTCTGGATAACTTTCAAAGTTGTATATCTGTAGAGGGAAGGAAAGTCCACAACTAGTGCAGAATTTGGATTGAAATTAAATCCCAACAAAACACAACCAACGTGGGATCTTTAATTGACAATGCATGACGGTGCATGTGAAGGTGAAGTAAAGCGAAGAATTACACTAGCTCGAACAGAAGTAACTAAGCTAAGTAGGATCTGGAAAGATACAGGCATAACTAAGATTGTTGAATGCACTTGTGTTCCCGATTGCCACTTATGGAGCTGAAATTTGGACGATCAAGAAGAGCGATGCAAGGCAGATAGATGCCTTTGAAATGTGGGCGTACAGATGGCTGTTACGGATACCCTGAACGGCCCACCGTACGAATGAGTCCGTTCTTCAGGAATCATCTAAATCTGTGGAAAACGATAAATCGAAGCTTTCTAACATTCATAGACCAAACCAAGGAATAGAACGGAATGGCACAATACCATTCATGCTTCAAGAGCATCATAGTCCTTCCTAATCCTAGTCCTTCCTAATTCCTTCTTACGGAAATGGACCAAAGAGAGAAGAGAGATAAAACCCTAAAGGAGTTTAGGGTTCTCCGGAGAGGGAAATCATGAAAATCGAAGCAATGTTTTCCGAAGTCCTACCGTTTATCACCCGGTATCTTAAAACGGGGAAGCCGCGTTCATGTAGTTTCGCTCGGATTCCGGAGCGGTGAACATGCGGTCAAGTTTCGAGAACACCCCGTATACGGGTCGCTGGTCGTTATTTAAATTTCGACGTTCGGCGCGGGGGAACCTTCGTCACGCGACCGTATCTGCGACACGATCGCGGATTGTTCGCGTTCCATTAGTTCTCGAATTTAGATTTATGGACGGGTACGGCGGGAATGTCGCGACGATACGACCCGAGGGTCGTCACCATGATAAATCGGCACTCGGGCGATCGAAAACGTTCCGTCCGTCCGTACAAATTTCATCAGATCCGAGACGACGTCGCTCAAACAAAGACACCTAATCGGCGCAGATAAGAACCGGAACGATTGTTTAGATATGGCGGCCGCGATAAATCTAATTTTTTCCATTTTTTACGTCTGGCTTGAGCAAACCTCAGATAAGAGCGCGTCACGGGACAGATTCCGTGAATCACCCGCAGTCCTGCGTCGTCTATAGAGCGCTGTCTGAAACTCAGGGTAGATTGTTCTGCCTGCGCCCGAAATATGTTTGGCGAAGCGTCGCCATAAGGAGTGCGCCTACGGGGTCCACAGTCTATGGAAGTTTCTTTGAAAAATTAACTTCTAGCAAGCGATTCGATGGATATAATTATCATTCTTGGTTTACTTTGTTTTCACATAACTAGTGACTTGCGATTATTAAGAGATAAATACTTACTTGAAAGGCAGAAAAATTCTTCAGAAAAATAAAACCCACAGAAAAACCGACAGCAAATTGCAATTAACACCTATTAACAAAACAAACAAAAGGGATGAATATGCCACAAGATCCCCTAACGAAATAAGTATTGAGAGAGAACCTGTGAAATGCCCCGGAAGCTGAGGATATCCCTGGCGAGTTACTAAAGTGTGGAACGAAAAGGCTCTTTAACGCATTGACATAAATACTTGAACGGTGCCCCAATACCAAGAGAATGGAAAGTAGCTCAAATATCTTTAATTAACAAAAAAGGAAATAAACGAGCCTGTACTAAGGAAGAAGAGGAACAGTCCGGATTTCGGGCTGGGAGAACCAGCACCGATAATATTTTCTGTCTGAAACAATTGATAGAAGTTCAAGTATTACAAGAAACCTACATCAACCTCAGCCTAATTAAAGCTTTAAAAAACCTGTATGAAGAATCGACATGTCGGATAAAGATAGGTAATACATTGTCTGAAAAGTTCCCGATGAATAGGGGTTTACGGCAAGGCTGCTGCATATCACCTACATTATTTAAGATCTAAGACACTGGAAGAGGAAGGGCATCGACCTTGGGGGTATACCCTACAATTTGCGGATGATTAGATTATCATGGCCAATTGCAAGAAGAGTATAAACAATGGGGTTTGGAGATCAACACGCAAAAAACCAAATACCTACCGATTGGCGCAGTGCACTGAACAACTAGAAGAAAATGAGGAGATACAGCCTTGCAGTGAATATACTTACCTGGGAGTGATATTTGATGCAAATGGCAAAGATGACGGTGATATCAAAAAACGAATAACTCAAGCTAGACGAACGGTTGGCTGTCTGAATGAAACGTGGAGGCGCAGAAACGTGGAGGAGAAATGGAGAGAAAAAGAGCGGTAGAAATGGACGCCTTTAGAAGAATACTGAGAATTTCTAGAAGAGACAGGATCCGCAATGACAAAATTAAGCGAGTAGGAATAGATGGTTCTCTAAGTACCGATATTGAGAGAAAACAACTAATATGGATACGATCAGGTTCAAAGAATGGATGATAGCAGACTTCCGAAAAAAGTAATGGAATGGATACCCCAGAACCGTAGAAAACATGGCAGGACCAAAAATACATGGAAAGAGGGGATAACCAAAGCGATGAGTGCCAGAGATTTGACAGAGGGCCAAGGGGATGACAGAATATATATATATATATATATATATATATATATATATATATATATATATATATATATATATATATATATATATATATATATATATATATATATATATATATATATATATATATATATATATATATATATATATATATATATATATATATATATATATATACGAAATATCCACTGTTTACTACTGGGCTTTGTGAATAAAACTATCTATCTATTACCTCTCAGAGTTTCCGGTTTTAAAAGAAAATTAAAGAGTACTTTTCGCATTAATGTACATTTTAAATTATGTATCTGTGTCTGTGCTGTATTTTATACATTTTTTTTTCTTTGCTTCTCTACTTGTCCAACACAGATAGCCGTCATATGGATCAACAAAACATCATTTTCATTAATGAGCAAGACACCTGGAGGTGCAAAGATTTCGAAGGACTTGGTTCTCCACTCTAAAGAGAAAGACTCTAATTAGATAAACGGCATTAGGGGTAGAGATAGGGAGCGACGCACATTCCCCCACACCAAGCAAGCAGGACCTTTAGGAATTTTTTAAAAATACATTCCTCTCGTCTCGACGCTTTCGGCGTTCACCATAAAGAGGAATTAGCGCGTTCGGACGAAAAATAAACAATAAATAAAACAGGCCGCGTTAATCCCTTTTCGGTCTGCAAACACACACACACACACACACACACAGGCACACGTAGACCTTTTGTTTGCCGAAATCGTTTCGCGGTCTCGCGCTCTTTCGCTAAAAATTTTGTTTTCGGCCGATGCACCGGAAACGCATAGTGGGCAATCGCCCCCCGCCTGGAACCTTTCGACTACTATGACCACGCCCCTCGCTCTCTATTCGACAAACCAGCGGTAAACTATAAACTGACGGGTGTGACGGTGGGCGGGACGCCATCGCTCCTCCCTCATTGTGTTGTTTGCCTTAAGATTGTTAGACAAATCAGGACGTATCTCTGATCGCTTTTGGCTTGTGCCAAAAGGAGTAAGAGGACGGTTAAACGAGCTACCCTGGTGAGTTCGGAGAGATGGTCAACGGATTAGCGAAGGACGTCGATAGTTTAGAAGATGACTAAGAGACTATTCCTACGTCTATAACCCTTAAAGGTATCCTTTTAGGGTTTGAGGTCCCTGGAGGAAGAAAATTTTATAGAGCTGAATACGCGGTCAAGTTTATTACACCGGCCACGCCCCCCTATGTATTCGACAAACCAGCGGCAAACAACAAACTTACGGGTGTGACGGTGGGCGGGTCGCGATCGCTCCTCCCCCAACGCGGCCGGGCGCAACGCCTGCCGTTGTCGTCGTAGGCGTGGTCGAGAAGCAGACACGTGGCGAGGGCGAGGGCGAGACCCGCGGCCACCACTACGGCCAGCACGGCTATCAGGGGGCCCCAAAACGCCGCCGCCCCTTCCTCCTCCTCCTCCTTCTCGGTCGGTCGCCCTTTTAAGTGAGGAGGCGGGAGCGAGGGCCGGCGGTGAGAGCGACGCGGCGGCGGTGGTGGCGGGTACTCCTTGCGTTGCGATACGACTTCGGCTGAAACACGTGAAGGCATCGGGTGAATCACCGCCGGAACGTCTTCGCATCGCGGAGGGACGTGACCGATATCAGACATCTAAATATATCAATAAGAGCAGTTACAAGGACTATTGAGCACTCTAAAAGTTGTAAGTACTAGAACGGGTTTGGAAATGGACACCTCAAAGACCAAACCTCTTGAATTGTTATTCCCGAACAAAAAAACAACGAAGTCAAACGCATTTGGATTATGGGTGTTCAGTGGTACGAGTGAAAAATAGGAAAACGACCTTCTTCGTTGGTGGACGGAAGAAGAGAGTACACACATCAGCGGATACCTTAAGAGAAACCACATAGCAGGAGGAGGAGTGTTAGGGTCGGAAGGGGCTGGAGAAGCCCAGTCTTGTGACCAGTGGCGGAATAAGAAATGGAAGTGAGAATGCGAGGTAAAGTCTGTTCATAGATATAAGGAAGTGACTAACTGATGCGAATTAAGGAAAGAACCGGGTAAACTGTAAGAATGAAATATGGCCGAACAGGTCCGTACTTTGCTTAAAATTTAATTATTTGGGGTTTTCTTAGGAAAGATGCTAAACAATAATTATTTTTATTACCTACTTATTATATCTTGATCAATTTCATCTACACTCGAGAAAATGTCAGCATCGCTTCTTTTTTTCCTCGCTAAAATGGGATTATTCACAATTTTCTATACAGTTGATGTTAGAATTTTCGTCAATGTGGCCGTTTCTTCTAAAGATGCTTGCTCGTTGGCTCCATGTTCAATGAGAGTCAAATAAACATTATTTTCTTGGTCTCAATAGAACAGTGTTTTCAACATTTGGGTGGGAGCATGTCCTGAGATACACTAGACTCGCACATATTTTGCAAAATTCGCTCACGATTCAACACACGCTGTATTACGCACGAAATAAGAATGATTACTAATAAACTTAAGCTAAGTAGTATACCAAACCAAACAGGTAGATATAAAGTTATTTTCTATTACGGACCACAATTTTACCTGAATTTAAATTCCCAAACTTTGGGTAATTTGGATAACCCCATTCAAAAGCAATTGGTCACTTCCTTATATCTATGAACAGACCATACACTTATATCTTCCGTATGGTGTCCATGCCTTAGTGCTCAAGAAAGATGCTGAAGCTAATTGGAGCAGTCGGCGTATGACACGAGAGCAGTATCTGAATACACAGGACGCCTCAAAATTTAATATAAATAGTCGTCGAACATCGTTAGATCTTGTTGGTAGAGAACGAGATTTGAAATGTCCAACTCGACATTTTTGTTATGGTAGCTTTAAAGGTTATCTATCATACATCAGACGTATCTAGCAGCTGTGTGAATGGTGATGGTGCTGGTGGTGTAACAAATGTTCCTTTTAATTATAATTAATTATAGGAATTCTCGATGTCAAAGATGTATTCAGTACAGGTAAGATTCACTAAGAACCACTAAAGTTCATTTGAACGGTATGTAAAATTTTTGGGAAACTTAAATTATAAATGTCACTTTACTCACCGACTAGTCAACTAGATTTTAATTGTAGCTTACAGCACGTATTATTTAAATTGTCTGATATATTGAATGACATTTTTCTGTGTATTAGTTTTTGGGTACAGTTTTGCAAAACAACACGAATACATTCACTGACATGACCGTCAGGATTTATTTTGGCCAAAATTATTTTTATTGTGAATCAACAGAAAAAAATGTTTTGCTTGGTACTATCACTCCAAGGATACTTTTTATAGGCGCATCAACATGTGTATATCCGAATGGTACACGTGCTCCTCTGAATAAACCTCTGCGAAGAGACAGAACTTGATTAAAAAAATAAACTAATATGATACTTTTTTTTTCAAAGAAACTTCCACAGGCTAGTGTAATACTTTTTACAAAACTCCTGGATTCCTCCTGGGTCTGTTTTTGCTGACTTGCTAACGTCCCGTTGGCTTCTTTAGAGCTTGACTGACACTGGTTCGTATTTTACTCTGTAACTAGGAGCTTTCCTTAGTAACAAAATTTTGATAATTCAGAATAGGAGGTAAGACTTAAATATTTGTTGGTGTGCTGCCTAAAATAATGGTTTACTGCATCATGAATTTTACAAATACAAACTCGAATGAGGTCTGATGTAGTGTAGTCAGATATGAAGGAGAAATAAGATAACTTCAGTAATAATCACTGAAGTAAAATCTATGGATAGCCAGATAGACAATCGTAAAATGAAATAGTTGATCTACTCCCTAATAAACAGGCAATTCCGGTATATTACAGTAGCAACGACTGACCTAACATGGAGAAATGAAAGTGTAAATTTTCACTGTAGTGCAAAAGAAACATTAAAAAATGGTTCGATAGTGTAAAAATATAAGTGTAGATATAAATTCTCATAGAAAAGTGAAAAAATGGAAGATAAGAAAATAAACAGACCCAGTTGCACTTTTTTGTAATTTTTCATGAACAAAATTTTGCATACCAAATTTTTACCACAACACAAACACTTTCAACAAAAAAGTCTAATCGCTAAATGTCTCTTGAATTTTTAATTTAATGCTAATCTGTTTTTTTTCCACTGCATAAGACTGTCGAAAGTTTCTTCTGCATTTTATACTTACCGACTTAACGATTAATAATGAATCAAAGCAAAGCCACCTAAAAATGTATTTACTTATTAGGTTTTTTCTTTCCGGATTTGGAAAATGTTCGTGTCAAAATGTAAAAAAAGTTTTTGTTCCCACCAGAGTGCTATTTGAAAAACTAGGTTATCCTAAAAAATTAAAAGTTCATTATATTAAACGGTATTTGCTATTGCACAAGTAAAGAAAAGTTTCATTTACAATTTTTCCCACGATTAGGTGAATAGTATTTATGATGGTCGGTGCCATCAACACACAATTTTCGTAAAAGGAGGGCGCGTACGGAGTGTGCGAGAGAGGGAGAGAAAGAGGCGCGACCTTGGCTCGACCTTGGCCGGTCGTAAAATAAAACCCGAATTTTATTTTGTCTGGGCGCGGAGCCCGGAACGCATCCACCGGCGACTGCAATATGCAAATGCGTGTGTTCGGTCGTAGCCCCCCCCCCCAGCCCCGCACGGCGGACCCGCTCCGTATGCAACGTCGCGAGTAAAAAAAAGAGGGATATTCGCGAAACTGCAGGTATACCGGTAAAAATTGCGCGCACTTGCGGGCGTTCGTCGCTTTCGGGGGCGGGGGGGTCTCGGCATCGTCTGCAAATTGTCGCGCGTCTTCGACGGAAAGATCGTAAAAACGGGGGTCTCGTCTGTGACGTAACGGCGTGCCTAAATCGTTCTAATGGCCCTTTCGAAAATAGACGGAAATCTGTGCCGTTTTATTATACAGAGTGTAATTTGTTAACGCACTTTAAATTTGTATAAAATCTTATAATATCACCAAACCAAAGCTAACTGTGCCTGTTAAGTTTTGTCAAAAAACCTTTATTGAGAACAATGGAATAAAAAAATATTCAATTGTCTATAATTAAAACACCTTGTGTATAATCGAACAAATGCGTGAAACAAAAGTTATAGCGCCGGGTGTAAAATTTTTCCGATTGGAGGAAAAGCTGTTTTTCCGGATGCCAAAGTAACCACAAAAAAAAATTCAAAAATAAAAAGAAATACTTCGCGTTATTTTATTGTTCCCAATTTAAAGAGTCTAAATGCGGGTCCAGACTGCAACTTCTCTCCCAAGTCTGAAGTTGGCAGCTGCAAATTTCGAGTAATTATGTTTTTTAATATTGCACGGAGTATCGCGAACACCCTGTACACAAACCGCAAATACAAAAGTTTAAGCTGCCTATATGGGCTACATCGTCATGTAAAAGAAACTGACATCTAAAACACAGATTTGCAATTATTGTCAATTTTCAATAATAAGGGGACCCATTTTTTTGAATTTGCGGCGCACCCTATATATTTTTGAATAATTGTCAAGAATAAAAGTTTATGGAGTCGTTTTCTCTGCGTCTTCTGGTTCAAGAATTTTTCGGCTCTTGTAAACGGTTTTTGAAAAATAGTCTTTTTAGGTTCCGTCACGGGGCAAAGGTGCATATATGTGCCAAATATGAAGTCGATTGCTTCAAATTTATCGTGTTTCATAGCAAGGCCCAAAAAACAGTCGAAATGCGCGAAAAAAACATGGATACCGGATCAGGACCATTTCTTATATGCTTATGTGCCTCGTGGAGGGTTAAAAATGAGGCAAATTTCAATTTTGTTGCTCCAACGGTTCGAAAGTTATTCAGAAAAAACCAAGAGAAAAAAACGGAGAACGGACAGACAAAAAAAAAATTTTTTTTCGACGGTGATCATTTCTGTACCAACGGCGATCCCATAGGACCTACCGTTATCGAGATATAAAATTTTTATACGGGAGCGGATACTTTCATCGATTTTCCAAAGTAACAAGTGATAGAAACTTAAAGAATGAACTAACCAAAACTAGAGCGGAGAACGCGGCTCGTAAGAACAATGGAAATGCGACCCCTGAGATCAATAACAGGACATACGTTATTTGATCAGAAGAGAAATGATGAAATAAGGGACTTGTGCAAATATTCAGGATGTAGATACCAAATGGACGATTAGCAAACATTGCAAAGAAAAAGAAACCAGACACAACACTCGATCTTCTGGACGACCACCTCCTAACGTAAGAAGAAGAAGTTTTGTACGTACTTTGTCCAATTTGAACCTACGCCGCGAGAGAGAATTCGATTTCTTCTTAGACGCCGTAACCGAAAGGTCAATCTATTGGAAAGTCGAACTATTTCGGAGGATGTACCAAATCAAATGTATTTATAATATCTGGGAATCTCTTTTTAAGATTTTATTTATGCATCCAATTTGCAGAATCAAGAAAATCTTTCTCTACTTAGCTAGCTGTTAAATAAAAATAAGGCCACTTTAAAGCAGTCAGTAAGGGAGCCTTAGCCAACCGGCCAAAACTATGATTTTATATTGCGTGTCTGAA